TCTTCCACTATTGGAGCACTACTCTTTTGACTTTTACTGAATTTTCTATACTCTTCCGGGGATTCATATCTTGGTTTCTTCTTCTCTTGACCATTTCCATTTCCATTTCCCGGTGTTAATGCCTTTTTATCTCCTTTTCTTCCTTCAGATTTTCCCTCTTCTGATTCCTTCATTAGATTCTCATAGAAGGATTTTGCCTTATGTTCCGTTGTCAACCAGTACCTTTCTTCTTTGTACGTTACCATGATACCTTCAATTCTTTCCCATCTAAATCTGATTGATCTTTTCTTAAGTTCATCCGTAAGGAAGTAGTACTTTCTTCTTCTACTTAGTGTCGCTTGTGGAAACTCTTTCAAAACTGCAATCTTAGTTTCTTTGTAATAAATCGGATTCTTATTGCTTCTGTATAAGACCTCATCTCTAGTTTTTTTTCTTGTAAATTGTACTATAACGTCTCGTGGCGTCTTATTTTTCCTTGAATAGAATGAGGATACCCGATATATTTGGTCCAATTCCACCTCCAATTCGTCCTCATCACTTTCCAAGCATTTTGCAATTAAATTTGTCATCAGTTGGCCGATATCTTCCTGCTTTTCTTCCTGTATATTTCTAAATCTTAGGTAGTATTCCATTTGCTTTTGCAGTAATTTTTCTTGTTCTATTTCTATTTTTTCCTTTTGTCTATCAATTCCTTTGATCCTCTTCAGAACATGTGATTGTGTTTCCTCCATCTTTTCTTTACTAACTTTCAATTCTTTTACTTCTCCATATAGATGAGTTATATCTTTTTTTATTTGCCCAAATTCCTCTTCCATCTTCTTTTTCACTCCTTGGAACTCTTCGGTCATTTTTTAATAATTTTTTTCTTGTTTATTAAAAAATTCTTCTTGTTTATCCGCCATATCCTTCTTTAATAAATCTTGTTTTTCAGACAATTTTTTTATTTCCTTTAAGATATTCTCCATGTTGATGCTTGTATCTAATGATCCTCTTCTTATCTGTATCTTCTCCTTCTCTTGTTTCCCTTTTGATGACATCTACCCTTTGATATTTTTGGTCACAATTTCCCACAAATTTGTCTAGTTCAAATAATCAATTTTTCGCCTTTTACAAATATTCAATTATTAATTTAATTTAATTTAATTTACTTAATTTATTTTATTTTAATATATATATATATATATATATTTAATATATATATATTTGATTTATTCTCTTCAATAATTTGTTGTCCAATTTATCTCTGTTGTATTTGATTATATTTGGTGTTATTTTTACTATTATTTAAATTTAATATTATTTTAGAATATTTTAATTAATTAAATAATTCTCCTTTCTTCTCCAATCTTCTCCTATCTTCTTTAACTATTTTCGTCTGCTTCTCTTCCTGGTATCCCGTCTTCTTTTCGTCCTGGCTCCTAGCGTCCCGTCTGCTTCTCTTCCTAGTATCGTCTTCTTCTCGTCCTAGCTATCTCCTTCTCCGTCTGCTTCTCTTCCTCGCGTGGTTTATTTACTGTAAAAATTATTATTTGCCGTTTTGCCGCTCCGTAGCGGCTTTCCTCTATGGTTCTTCCTGCTTCCGCCCTTCCCAATTCTCCTTCCGCCCTTCTTCTTCTTCTTCGCCCTCCTCTTCCTTTGTCGTCGCTTCCCCCTTTCCCTCTTCGTCACTTCCTGTCTTCTCTTTCTTACTTTGTTTATGAAGAAGGGGAGTCTCTAGCCATAACAATATGGCGTCAAGGTCGTAAGTTCTTACTTTCTTTTACTTTCAGAGCCAGGGGCGGCGGGCGGGGGGGGGGCGGGAGGGGGAAGCAATTCTCAATGCCTCCAATCTCCTTGATCTTCTTATAGCCAAGAGTTTCGGACTTTCCCAAACTTCTCCAAACACCTTATTTCCTTCCCCCTTTTTCACCACGGCAATATCAATTAATCATGTGTTAATCATAAATTTCTAAATTGACCCTCTATCTTCTTTCTTTCCGGATCTCAGATTTATATGTTTCTTCTTCGCAATCTATCCCATAAATTCTTCTCCGTCACTCTTCCTTTCTTTAACTCCTTTATCCCTTCTCTCCTCCCCTTTCAAACTCTATCTGTTTGTCTTGAGATGTGCTCTCTTATTACCTGACGATGAGATTTTCTTGTTCTTTTCTCCTTCGAGAATTCTTGATTTCTTTCTTCTTTGTATTTGTGTGGGCTGGCTATGGTTGGAACGGGCTTGCGCCCGATCCCGGCGGAGCGCCTGCTTCCCGTCCGCTCGGACCCTCTCGATCCCCCCTCCTTGAGGGAAAGGGGCTCTTGGGGTTCGACGAGCCTCTGCGGGTTCGCTACACCCTTGCCTTCGATCCGGCAAGGGTGGGGGAGCAATCAGCTCACCCAAAGGCACCTCTACGTCGGTTCCCCGTCGGAGCTCCCTCTCAACGAGGCTTGCCCGTTGCCATCACCCACCGGAAGTCGGTTCTTGTAGGTTTTTTCGGGCTATAGGGCCATGTTCTAGAGGCATTTCTCCTGACGTTTCGCCTGCATCTATGGCAAGCATCCTCAGAGGTAGTGAGGTCTGTTGGAAATGGGTTTATATATCTGTGGAATGACTGGGGTGGGGCAAAGAGCTCTCTGCTGAAGCTAGGTGTGAATGTTTCAGCTGACCACCTTCATTAGCATTTGAAGGCTTGGCTGAGCCTGGGAAAATGTTCTGTTGAGAGGTGTTAAGATGTGCCTGGTTGTTTCCTCTCTGCTGTTTTGCTGTTGTAATTTTAGAGTTTTTTAATACTGGTAGCCAGATTTTGTTCATTTTCATGGTCTCCTCCTTTCTGTTGAAATTGTTCACATGCTTGTGGATTTCAATGGCTTCTCTGTGTAGTCTGACATGGTGGTTGTTGGAGTGGTCCAGCATTTCTGTGTTCTCAAATAATATGCTGTGTCCAGGTTGGTTCATCAGGTGCTCTGCTATGGCTGACTTCTCTGGTTGAAGTAGTCTGCAGTGCCTTTCATGTTCCTTGATTCGTGTTTGGGCAATGCTGCGTTTGGTGGTCCCCATGTAGACTTGTCCACAGCTGTATGGTATACGGTAGACTCCTGCAGAGGTGAGAGGATCCCTCTTGTCCTTTGCTGAACGTAGCATTTGTTGGATTTTCTTGGTGGGTCTGTAGATTGTTTGTATGTTATGTTTCCTCATCAGGTTCGCAGGTTTCGAGTGATCCTGGACTCATCGCTGAGCCTGGAAGCCCAGGTCTCGGCGGTGGCCGGGAGAGCTTTTGCACAATTAAAACTTGTGCGCCAGCTGCGCCCGTACCTTGGGAAGTCGGATCTGGCCACGGTGGTCCACGCTCTTGTTACATCCCGATTAGATTACTGCAACGCACTCTACGTGGGGTTGCCTTTGAAGACTGCTCGGAAACTCCAACTAGTCCAGCGAGAGGCAGCCAGATTGCTCACCGGGGCGTCATACAGGGAGCATACCACCCCCCTGTTGTGTCAGCTCCACTGGCTGCCGATCCAGTTTTGAGCACAATTTAAGGTGCTGGTTTTGACCTATAAAACCCTATATGGTTCCGGCCCAGTGTATCTGTCCGAACGGATCTCCCTCTACGTCCCACCCCGGAGCCTAAGATCTTCTGGGGAGGTCCTGCTCTCGACCCCGCCTCTATCACAGGTGAGATTGGCGGGGACGAGGAGCAGGGCCTTCTCGGTGGTGGCCCCCGCCTGTGGAATTCACTCCCCGAGGAAATCAGATCTGCAACTTCGCTCCTTTCTTTCAGGAAAAAACTAAAAACATGGATCTGGGACCAGGCATTTGGACAAGTGGGAAAATAAAGAAAGAACTTCATTGATGGCTAGGAAATGACTAACGGATTGGACATGTGGAACTCTGGAAACGAAACGCTGATGATAAGAATGACTTTTATATGATGTTTTTATATGATGTTTTATATAAAGTCTTATGTACCGGTTGTTGATGTTTTAATTGTGATAATTGTTTTAATTACATTTTTGTATATTTGTTCTTTTGTATATTTTTGTATATTATGTGTAATTTTGTAGGTAAAGGTAAAGGTAGTCCCCTGACATTAAGTCCAGTCATGTCTGACTCTGGGGTGTGGTGCTCATCTCCATTTCTAAGCTGAAGAGCCAGCGTTGTCCGTAGACACCTCCAAGGTCATGTGGCCGGCATGACTGCATGGAGCGCTGTTACCTTCCCGCCGGAGCGGTACCTATTGATCTACTCACATTTGCATGTTTTCGAACTGCTAGGTTGGCAGAAGCTAGGGCTGACAGCGGAAGCTCACGCCGCTCCCCGGAATCGAACCTGCGACCTTTCGATCAACAAGCTCAGCAGCTCAGTGCTTTAACTCACTGTGTCACTGGGGGCTATAATTTTGTATAGGCATCGAATTCTGCCTTTTTTGTAAGCCGCCCTGAGTCCCCCTCCAGGGGTTGAGAAGGGCGGGGTAAAAGTACCAGAAATAAATAAATAAATAAATAAATAAATAAATAAAGTGGTTCCCTTGATGTATGGCAGGAGCTCTTTGCCCCACCCCAGTCATTCCACAGATATATAAACCCATTTCCAACAGACCTCACTACCTCTGAGGATGCTTGCCATAGATGCAGGCGAAACGTCAGGAGAAATGCCTCTAGAACATGGCCCTATAGCCCGAAAAAACCCACAAGAACCTGCCTGATGATGTTCACTCCCTGCGGTTCGCCCCCTCATGACGTCACTGATTTCCCCCCTCCTTCCTTTCATTCATCCCCACTCATTCATTCCCCCCACTCATTCATTCATTCATAGATCCTCCTTCTCGACTTCCTCGCTCCCCTCTGATTGGCCCCGCCTCAGCTTCCCCCTCCAATCAGAACGCGAGCAAGGCTAAGGAACGGAACGCTGGAGGGCGAAGGGGCGTGGCTTTAACCGGCAGCCCTCGCCTTTCTCCTTTCCCAACCGCCTCCCTGGGGGGCGCGGCGAAGAGGTGCGCATGCGCGGCTCGCGGGAAAGAAGGCGGAGACGACGCGGTGCAGTTTGTTGCTGCCTAGAGACGCGCGCATGCGTCTTCCGCACTCCTCCATTTCCTGCCTCCCTTGACGACGCGCTCCTTCCTTTTCTGCCCCTCTTAAAAGGAGGGGGGGGGGAGGGCTTTATTTCCTTTGAGAGCCAAAGCCTGAAGAAGAGAAGGAAGGGCTAAGGAAGGAAGAAGAAAAGGAAGAAAAAAAAATTGAGGGAGCTTAATTTGGGGGTCACTTTGCATTCATGTAGGCCTATGTGGGATTAGTTTGGGTCAGTTTGTGCTTGGCGTGGGCGAACTTTGGGTTTGGAGTCAGTTTCAGTTCATTAGGGCTACTCTTGGGCTAATTAGGGTTGGTGTTCAATTAATGGGGTGGTTAGTTTTGAATTTTTTTGAACCCCATTTTGAGGGGAGACTAGATTGACTCAGTGCCTTAGCCTTCCTTTGAGGCCCAGTCTTCTGCCTGAGGAGAGGAGACAGAGCTGGATGGGGCAGAAAAGGCTTGAAGCCTTCCTGAAGTCTGTCTGTGCTGGGTTGGGTTTCTAAAACCCTTCCAGGAACCAGAAAGCGCCTCAATCTCTATTGAAGGGAAGCTTGGTGGGTTTTGGGGGGCTTCAGCTAAGAGGGACCTATTACTTTCAGGGTGCAGCTTTTGTGGAACATCCTGGGTGGATTTTGAAGTCTTTCTGTGTTGGGTTGGGTTTCTTAAAACCTTCTAGGAACCTGAAAGCACCTCAGTCTATTGAAGGGGAGCTTGGTGGGTTTTGGGGGGCTTCAGCTAAGAGGGACCTCTTACTTTCAGGGTGCAGCTCTTGTGGAACATCCTGGGGGAATTTTGAGGAAAGCAACTTCTCTTCCTCCCTTTAGTTAGGTTTGTGGATTCAGAAAGGTCAGCTGTGTTTGAAGGACCTCAAGTTTTGAGGTTTTTTTTGCCCCTTTGGGTGCCTTAAGTCCCGTAAATTGAAAGGCTTATTGGAGCTTTGTATTTGTTTGAGAAGGATTCATTCAGAACTCAGTGATGCCTTCTGTTTTGGGGGTGTCTCTTTCGTGCAGCAATTTTGGGGGTGTCTGAAAGGACATTGTCACTTGGAGATTTGTGTTTGGTGAGAAGGATACATTCTGAGCTCGGTGATGCTGTCAGTTTTGGGGACGTCTCTTTTGTGTGGCAATTTTGGGGGTGTCTGAAAGGAAATTGAAAGGACATTGGCCCCTTGGAGTGTTGGCTTCACTTGTAGGGGAGGATCAGTCTTGAATAGACGATGCCTTCTGTTTTGGGGGAGTCCTTTTTGTGCTGCAGTTGGGGAGAGGCTTCCATGGGCAACCCTTAGTGTGGCATGTTGGATATCGGGGCGTTTTTTGAGAAGCATGAGGTCAGAGGAGTTGTTGACAACCGTGTGGCAATAGTTGGGGCAAAGGGAACAAAAAGGGAGTCCTCTTGAGAACACAAATAGGATTCTTTCCTTGGAGCAGAGCTTTGGTTCGGGCTGCCAGCAAAACCTGAAGGTCTGGGGTTCGATTTCCCAGAGACCGAGGGGCCTCTTTTCCTGAACGGAGGAAGGGAAAGTCTCCTTCTCCCTTTTGCCAGCTGCACACAGGAAGGGGGAGCGCACACAGAGCCCTGATTGCATCCGCTGCAATGACAGGCAAGTCGGTGCGGGATGTGGACAGGTACCAGGCGGTCCTGGCTAATCTGCTGCTCGAAGAGGAGAACAAATACTGTGCCGACTGTCAGGCCAAAGGTAACATATTCTCATCTTTTACTGTTGGGAGGGTCACTATTTTGGGCTGGGCTCTCCTCGCAGGAGGCGAGGAATTGGGAATGAGGAGATAGAGGTGGTGAAGCTGTGTTACTCTTGGGAAAATTCTAGTGTCTTTGTCATTAGAGCTTTGGTGTTGTAAGAACAATAACAATACCATCTATATCTGTCTAACTATCTATATAAATATAATGTGTGCACACAGGTAAGCTTGACTCTGTTGAAACCTTCACATTGCATCCAGCCCCAAATGCTGTGAATTTCAGCTTGGCTTTGTTAATTTTGTGTGAGCTTTTCTTCCCACGCGGTGGGTTCTCTTTGTCCAAATGGCTTGCTCTTTGTGGGTGTTTTTCAACATCCTTTGACTCCAGCCAAGGGCTGAGCAAGCAAACAGGTGGCAAATAGGGTTCACACATCCCGAAAGAAATTGTGTGTGAAGGAGGAAGGAAGGAAGGTAGGTTGCCGGCTAGTTGGTTTTCTTTTGGGAGGGATTGGGGCAACACATCAATTGTTTGGGGGTGCTGCATGCAGTTTGTTACATAATGGCACCAACTGGGCAAACTGACAGGGATGACTGTTATCGGTCCTTTCGCTAGAGGCAAGAGGTCAAGAATTAATCTTTCTGTCCTGTTGATAAATCCAGTTCTCCTGACAAAGCATGTCAGAAGGGCAGGGTGAAGATCTTGTCTGTGTATGTATCACTCACCAAAAAGACATTTCAGTAGTGAGCAATATGTCTAGCTCCTTGTCCTTCCTTGCTATCTTTTTAAGTGCCCCAACTTCCTGTTTGTAAATGCCAAAATATTCCCAGTTCTCATAATTGCTAAGGTCTTCTTGTGTCGATGACTCAGAGACAAAACATTGATGAAGCAACCCCAGCCTTTTCATTCCTTTCAAAATGCCTGTGGTTTCCAAGGTCTTTGGAAATAATTCTTAGGGATGCTGACTCAAATATTATTTTCCAAACTGTTCTTGGAAGACAAATTTTGCTCATCATCTAGCTAATTTTGCTCATCATCTAGCCTTGACTTGGGTTGAGACAATGTTGTCCTCCACTTGAAAATAGAACATCTCCCCCATTTCTTTAGCACATCTTGGCTTATTTGCTTGAGTTACCTGCCTTTGTTTGCTTTGCAGGCAATACACACCTGCTTCCTGCTTGGGTTTGGTGCTCTGGATGTTAGTTAGATTGCTTCTCCCAAAGGCAGGGACCTTCTTGTTTTCATAAATATAAGGTCACCGAGATGAAGAGAGAAATAAAAATATAGGCTGCAGTTAAGGAACTTGTAAAACTAGAAGCACATTGCAGCACATAGTATTCAGGAAGTGTTTACACCTGTAAAAGTATAATGAAAATATTAAAGCCATAGTCTTGTTTCAATGTTGCTTGCAGTGTGTCATATTAGCAAGGTACATTTCAGCTGACGAAGGATCTGCATGCCTTGGGCACCTGGAGTGGTTTCAGGAATATTGGAAATTCTTCAGTGGCTGTTTAGTATCTACATTGCTTGTTGCCTTCCTTGAGTTCTTTAGGATTTAGATTTGGCTTCTTTTATTGTTCCCCTGAGAGGGAAGAACTCATAGGCCCAAGATCTTAGTTCTGTGTGCCTATGGGATTGATTATTTGGTGGTGATGTTCAAATAGCGGCCTACATCTGAAACTGCAGGAAGTTGGGAAGAAAGAACCCTCTCTAAGCATGGCTCATGTCCTTGATCACGCCAACGATTTCCCTTTAATTACCTCTGTTCTGCTCTGTACTTTTTCAGTGCTCTAGCTGAACAGAGTTGGTCTCCCATCCTCTATCTAGCTGCATTCTTGAGAGAAGACTACAAAATATGCATCCCCTTCTACATCCCTCCCTGTCCTTCCCGTGTTACTGCTTTGTGCCTTGAAAGGAACAAAAGAACCACGTCTTCCACTTCATCTTGCTTTTTGTGTTTGCAAAGTCTTCCCTCCACTTTTAAAATGGGGAAAATATAAGGGCTGACAGAAGCTTAGTGGTACGGTTGCTACATCTCCATAGAGAGCTGAGGAAGGATCCTCTTTAATCTTAAAGAACTATTGCTGTTCAGTGTAGAAAAATTTATCTCAAGCTATCAGATGTGGTGGACTGGCATTTCCTGTACATCCAAGGTGCCAGAAGTGGTGTCATGTTGTGATCTTTAGTTTCAATCTTACCTGTCTTTTCTGAAAACTTCTAGAGACCAGCAACTAAGGGCTCTTGGAATGGTGCTGGTCCATAGACCAAATTTTTGAATAGCACTGATGCCAGCAGTATTGAAGTACAGGGTCCATTGTTCTGACTTGCTGTTGGGCAACTTTTTTATGTTTGCTGTAAACCAGTAGGTGGGCAATTGCCTGGGGACTATGGGCCAATTTTCACCCTACCAACTCATATTGGGTCCACAATCCCCCTAACATTTCCCCCAATCAGTTCTTAGTTTCTTAAGCGTCCTTCCAAAATGGTCATAAAAAGTCATGTCACGTCACTTCGTGTCACCATTTTGAGAAGAGCTCTGGCAGAAGTAGACGTCTTGGAAGAGAGGTGTCTCTGTATAGGTCAGTTTGTGTTTTTGCATGCTCTGTGGGCTTCTTGGACAAATTTCAGCTGAAAAATGCTCCCAGAGCTTTTATTTATAATGTTCCGGTGGGCTGGAAGGCTTTGGAAGCCTGGCAGGGGTTTTTGGAGGTTGCGCCACATGGTCCGATGGCCACACATTGTCCATCCTTTCTAAACCTTTGGTGTGTACCAATAAACAACACAGGATGTATTGCAGGAAGTACCTTCATTTGTGTAAGTTCAAGCCATTTTGCAAGTGCATTGTCATGAATTGCCTACAGCAGTGGTTCCCAACCTGTGGGTCCCCAGGTGTTTTGGCCTACAACACCCAGAAATCCCAGCCAGTTTACCAGCTGTTGGGATTTCTGGGAGTTGAAGGCCAAAACATCTGGGGACCCACAGGTTGAGAACCACTGGCCTACAGGCACTAGTTCCTATATAATCTTGGAAGCTAAGCAGGGTCAATCATCTTTAGTATTTGGATGGAGACCGCCAGCAGATACCATATGCTGTTGGCTATATTTCAGAGGAAGGAGCTGGGAAAAACACCTCAGATGGTGCCTTCAGGTTATCTGTTGACTTATGGCAACCCTATGAATGTTACAATTTTTTATTTTGCAAATAATCCCCAGAGATGGGTTTTGCCAGTTCCTTCCTCTGCAATACAAGAGGACCCTGATAACTGCAGAAACTGTACCTGTAGTTTCACTAAATTGTGAATTTCATTGCATTGCAACTTTCATCATCCCTAGCCAGCAGTGAGATGAAGGGAGCCGCCACCCAAAACTATCTGGAGGGTCTTATTTTGCTCAGCTCTGTACTTAATAGTTCACCTTTTCACTTCTGCTCCACAGAAATTAATTACTGAAAGCCCCTTGACTGTTTCTTTCTGGTCTATCATGCATCAGTGGTAGCTTCCTTTTCTTTTGAAATACCTCCCCACTTCCTGTTCTTCAATCCACTTGTACTTCCTGTGTGCTTCTAGCCCTTGACTCCCAGCAGTTTGCACCAGCCTCCCCATGACTAGGTTCCAAGTGACATTTTTATGGCAATTTCCTGAAAAATTGAGACTGATAATTGTGTTTTTTGAGGCTAACGTCTCTTTTTAATGACCCACATGCCATCTTTACTTTTTGAGTGTCCTGTAAAGCAATAAGCTTTATTTGTGGTATAATTAATCTGAAACTGAAGTATGCCATTAAAATGAAAAACAAATGGCAATATGCACTTAAAGCCCAAGCCACCAAAAAGCTACCCAGCAGAAGGCACAATCAAAGGTGATTTACGGAACATTTAAAAAGCAGAGGAGAAAGAAAGGAGTAAAAAAGACTGAAGGGATGGAAGAAGATTTGGGACGTGCATGTGATGCACAGCTTGATAGGACAATACCTTCAGATCCAATTCCTAATGTCTTGGTTTGGCTTTTTGGATCTTCAAAATGCAGTGTAGCTATGGAGGAGGAGCTTTTCTGAAATGTGTACTGTTGTTCATAGGTTTGTTTGCTTTTCTTTTAACTGAGTGATGGTGAGGTCAAATGGGCCAACACTTCTTTTGGGAGGCATGTGACCTCAGATTCCCTCTGGAACTCCTGGCAGCAATTGGGGTCAACATATTTTAATTTGATTTTTCTTCTTGCAAGGAGTCAATTTCTGGCAGAAAATTTGAATAACTCCCAGATAGAGACCTCATAGATACCTTGGAATTTATTAGCTCAGGCGTCCTGTTATAGACAAACAGCTGAGGCCTTAGGGAGGAGGGGCACAGCACACAATAGCCTCAGGGGGAGGTCACATGAGTTGGTGATGATGGTGGTTTTTAACTTACTCCTTGGAATGGGGTTCTAGGTGGAGAGCTGTGTTAGTCTTTTATAGCAAAAACAACAAACAGAAGGCAAAGTTTCATGGAGTTTTGTGGACTTAGGAACACAGAAGGCTGCCTGGGATTGGTCAGGTTAGTTAAACCATTGATTAATCTAACACAGGAGAAGCCCCCCAGTGGTGCAATGGGTTAAACTCTTGTGCCGGCAAGAACTGCTGACCGACAAGTGAGTGGTTCGAATTTGGGGAGAGTGAGTTGACCTCCCTCTGTCAGCTCTAGCTCCCCATATGGGGACATGAGAGAAGCCTCCCACAAGGATGGTAAAACATCAAACATCCAGGCGTCTCCTGGGTAACACCCTTGCAGACAGCCAGTTCTCGCACACCAGAAGCAACTTGCAGTTTCTCAAGTCGCTCCTGACACTCACACACACGAATCTAGCACAGGATTGACTTTGACTGACAGCTTGAATATGGCTTTCCAGGATTTCCCCAGGATTTCTTTCTTAGTCCTACTTAGAAATTCAAGATAATATTGAGTAGTTCCTCACTGAAGTCCTAACCAGCCTCAAATCTCCTTTGCTTTGAAATCAGAAACAATTGG